AACAAGCTAATTTGAAGCCCCACTTTTGCCTGTCAAATACCCTTTTTCACGATGGTATCCCCAATTTGTTGAGACAAACATTTGTTTTATTGCTGATATTTGTTGCTTGAACATGAATTGGTCCGGAAAAGTTACAACGACGTGACCGCCACAACACTGGGACTGTCCCCAAAGTGGCTATAGACTTTTCAGGTATGTGAACGAGAATGACTTGGCAGTATGTAAGTATGTATATATTTTTTATACAGTATTTATATTACAGTATACCTTACTTATTGCCTTGGCCTCTTTCTGTGTTAGGGGACATTGCTACCCAGGAACTATATATAAAATCCCAGGAACTATATATAAAATCCCAGGAACTATATATAAAATCCGAGGCACTATTTACAAATCCCAGAAGCTATTTATAAAATCCCAGGAGCTATTTACTGCATTTTATACTGATACACTGGGGTTAATTTATTTCCAAACTCCTGGACCTATTTAAAAACACACACACATAGTTCGCTTATGGGTTTTGGGCCAGTGCTTTAAGCTAACCCGACTTTTGGTGGTTTATTATTGACTATGATTCCCATACTCTAAGGTTAACACAACCAAGAGCAATGGTTAGTGGTGAATCTGAATTAAAAATTGCACGTATTGTGAGCCATTTTAGGTGATATTTAATATGAGGGATGGGACTATTTAGAGGCCAAGGTCACCAATCTCACCCAGATCCGACCTTCATGACTAAGCCAGCCATGGTATACTCACCCTTGAAGATTTCCATGTGCGCAATGCTGTGGACAGCACACATGATGTCCCTACTGCCTTGACATACCTGCTTGTGTGGAAACCACACCAAAAATTGCTTCACAATATCCAGGCCTGGATAGTTATCTATCCCTTGGGGTTAGAAAAAGGCTAGTGACCACGCTGGCTTTCGCAACTCTTTTCTCGTGTTCCCTCCGGCCTGCTGTCTGCAAAAGCCTTATGGCACATCTGGACCCGAAAAATGTACCCGGGCTTTGCAAGTTCTAAGTGGGATTGCCTCTGCAAGAACCCAAAAATCCTAGCAGAGAAAAGTAAGTGATGCCAATCGCATCAAGCTTGGGTTGGCTAAAGAACCTAAGCCTATGGCCATCATGTGTCACTGGCCTTTCCATGTCAAAATCTATGCCTTCGTTTTGGCTGCCGCTTTCTTTGCCACCTTCTTGGCAGCCGGCTTCGGTGCCGGTGTCCTTGGAAGACATGAAAGGCCTGGAATTTGATAGTTGGAAAACCGATGCGCCAGTATTCCCTGGCATATGAAATCCTATGAAGGCGTATCCTCAAACCAAAGCGCATTCGATGATCAGCGATCAGATTGTGAAATAGTGACATACGACGTAACATTACATATTCTGAATGCCTACGGGAGAGATTCCCCATTAAAGCAGACTTGCAAAAGTTTTGAAGGCGTGGCCCGAGTCTAGCAGCAGCAAACCATAATAAACTGGCAAGTGGGAACGGCCTTGATTTCTAGGATTGGGATTTTGACCTTCTGTTCGTTTTGGTGAGAAGAAAACAAAAATGAATTTGGGGATCATCCAAGGCTATCGGCCTGGCCCCCCAAAATGATGGGCTACTTTTGGTGCTGAACGTGAATACGGTTAGTTTTGTGGAAATCATTGGTATCCGCCCACCCATGGTTGAAAAAGAATTTGTTTGACTCAAGTCCATAGCCGCAGCAGTAACCTAAGTATTACTACTACCACCTGAACATTCATTATACAGGAGAAGGTAGTGGAGCGAAAATTGAATTGGGTGATGGCACCTGAAAGCTGGAAATAAAGAGACGAGCTACTCTTTGGATTCCTCAGTCTTCAGAAATTCCTCCAGCTTGTTGGACAAGACGGGTGAAAGATCGGCCCGTGCCATCCCGAGCTCCTGGGCAAGTACTTTGCAAACCTTCCTCACAGCCGCGAGCTTTTGGGGATACTTCTCTGGGTGGAGAATCAGCTCGCCCACAAGCAAAGAGCTGCAAATGATGGAAATCTGATCGCGCATCGCCTCTTCAGAAAAGGTGAAAATCTGAGGATCCAGGGTAGCTTTTAAATTTGGCTGTCCACTGCATACCATTGCTGCAAGTATACTGTGAATTAGTATTCTGCCAGTTC